AGCCAAGCCACAGAATTATGCAATTTAACCAATTTAGTATACTGTATTGTCTAGCAATGCACACTCCGCACAATTCCACGACGCCTAATCGAGCCGTTCGCTACTGTCCTACTCTCCCATACTCTCTAGTCCCCGCCGCTGGCAAACGCTAATACCTATACTTTCCTTGCCCTCGCTACGCTAGCGCACGCTGGTGACGCTGGCAAACGCTAGATCGATATCTATCCTTTCCTTGTCACTGCCGCTACCGAACGCTGGGAACGCTAGCGTACGCTGCCGCAAAATGAAGGCAGCCTAGAGGAAGCTAAGTCATGATGCATTTTCACAGGCACTCACAGGCACAGAGAGCACCGACCCTCATCCAGGTATTGCCATATTCAACCTGCAGTGCTTCATGGCCACTAAAAATGTGTAATACCACCTCTCTTCGTATCACATCTTTCTTACTATTTTCCTGCATTCTGACAGACGCTCACAACAAAGTACCTTCTAGGAGAAACAGCGCCATCAATTCTATTTATATTACAGCAACTCACATTTGATTCAGAAGAACAAATTCAAAAGATAGAATAAGGAAAGAAAACAGTTTCTCGTCAATAGTAGAAACGGCTAGATTAGCGAAGAAAGGCCAAATTTCTTTGAAGTAAAAACTCACGTTCTTCATAACTGTACCGACTGAATTCAAATCTGTGTAGCGACAACGGATTTTACGTTCGACAAACACTTTAACGTGTCGCATTCCTAAATTCTTCAACTGAGTTCCCTGACCAGATGCTATTCACACCGCTTTCATCAAGAACTGGACACTCACCTCTTCCCTCCATTTCCGGATCTATCACCGTAAATACGGCATTGAAGTCTTTCTCCACGGCATCCAGAAGCACTCTATTCACCAAAGGACACCTAAAAGTCAACTTATTCACTTAGGCTACTAAACACAGTGACTGAAATGGTGAGGCTGAGCTGATCTCTGAAAAACAATCCTTACCAGTCGTAGGTAATGACGTTCGGAGCTGTCCTCATCTTTCCTAAGAGATAATCAGAAATGGCCCGGTATGCGCTACCGAAGTACTCCTCTTCGCAATCATCTAACCATTTCGTCACATTTTCTATGCCCTGAAGATAAATGCGAACATAGAACTGAACATCAATGTTTAGGCAGACAACTGTATAGATGACCTAGGATATCTTGAAAAGTTTTCGAAGAAAAAAAAACTATAAAAAAAGTAGGCCACCAGCAAGTTTCCACTTCGGTCTGGCGTGCCCACTTTCATTATTTCTTTCTTCAGCTGTCGCACTATATTACCCAGAGCGTATGGAAGTGGCCACCGACCTGCAGATTACCTTTTATTTACAAAGGAGAGAATGCGATCAGAACCTAGAAATTGTTGAAGGTGCTTACTTTCTTGGGTAAGGTGAGCTATCTGAGGCCTGATGGCGACGTCTAAATCATGACTTAGCGAAGTCGGATCACGATTTTCTTTCTGACGTTGCGTAACCCAATCCGCCAAATACTAAAACTGTTCAAAATCAACGAATGATAGACGTGAATTATTCCGAGAGACAGGCTTACCTTCCTGAAAGCAGCAATGAAATCAAGGCAAAGCGAATCCACTTCATCTATCATACCCAGCTCGCAACGTACTGCCAAATTGAGAAAAGCTGGATGAACATGAGCTGTAGATGGCGGTTCAGGGCACTCTGAGCAGGAGCCAATGGGGACTGCAAGGAGTATGAATGATAACGCTCCATTATCCCAGCTTTAATAAACTAGCAGTAACTCACCTTCGCTACCAACACTTTCTTCTGGAGGTGAAGTTATAGTGTTAGCCGACAGATCTAGAACAGTACAATAAGATTGTTTCTCATTTAATGCTCAATTTCATTTGTGCATTGCGCAATTGCAGTCTTGTGCACAGTGGAAGTGGGGCGCGTCAGGAAGGAGGAGGAGGGGGGAAGGGTGAGTTTGGCTAGGCGCCAGCCAGTTTTCAACCAACTGTGGACGATTGCGCCACAACTGCTGGAGAAATGGCTGGCACAAAGGCAGCTGCTGTACCCTAGAGAAAGGATCCTTTCCGTGCGAGATCAGCGTTGGGCCGTAGCTACATAGAGTGTGTCGCTCGCGGCGCTAAGAGGTGAAGGAACCACAGCTTCACAGCTGTTCAGTCTCAAGGGTGACTATGAACAGTGCTCAACGCCGTTCAGCCTGCTCTCCCGATGGATGCATATCTAATCCTTGTCGCGATGGTGCCGGACTAACCAAGGTCGCACACTGTGAACCATGTCTCACGAGAACTGCTCATAAGAAATCAAATGCCGAAACCACGACACCACCCGCATGGCGTTGCGACCGATTCTCTCAGGCATTGTTCACTGTCTTCGACCCTGGCGAAACGGCGGTTGGGCGAAAAGCAAAGAAATACGGATTGATCGGAGAATCGCCAACCGCTAACCGCCGAACCGCCGCGGTTCGGCGGTTGGGCGAAAAGCAATAGATGCATATCGATTTCGCTGGCGAAACGCCACGCTCTGCCAACGCTATGCCGGTTAGCTAGCGTTTCGCGAAGGCGAAAAACGACGCGGTTCGGCGAAACGCCCGTCGATTCGTATCAAAACCCTTTCGCCCAACCGCCAATCGATACATATCAAAAGCTTTTCGCCGGAGCGTTTCTTCTAGAGAAACGGTGGGCCGCAGACTGTGAACAATGCCTCACTTTTGCCATGCATACGGTAGCGCCGCTCAGACCCTTACGCAGAGCATTCCTGCGTCTTTATGAATCGCGTACTCGCGCAATTCCAAAATAAACCAAGCTGCAATTTGACGCCCTCGACGGTTCCTTAGTTCGTTCCTTCAGTAGTGAGTCAACTACCATATACAAGTTCATATCTTACCCCGACTACTACCCTACTACTTTCTTAGGAACCGCGAAGCATCTCTCCTCCTTCCTTTTTCATCCCTCTTCCCTGCTTTCCTTCCTTCCATCTCTCTTCCCTCTTCCTTATTCCTCTCTTGATATGCTAGATCAGAAGATAAGATGAGAAGATACCTCTGAACCTTCTCACCGAAAGAACATCTAGTTGACAGAAGCCTTGCCCCCCCCCCCCCCTCAGCAGGACTGCCCGCGAACTGCAGTCGCAGAAGGTGTCTTTCACAAAACAAACCTACCAAACTTCACTTCCCGTGGTGGTAAGTTCTTTCCGTTACCTCGTAGAGCTGATTTCCCAACGAGTGCGGTCTGAATTGCAGAAATGAATTTTGGATTATTCGAATGCAGCTAATGCAACCCACCTACCTGGTTCTGATTATTGTCTCCATTCATCTGAGCTTTGTCTGCAGGAGCAGGGCCCTTTTCAGGAACCTTTTTCGGCTTACTCGGATGGTCTTGTTTGTTTTGCACTTTTGCTTGATCTCCTTCGGCAGCTTTTTTAGCTGCTGCTGCTTCAGCTGTAATTTTGTCAATAGAAACGTGAATCCAAGCAGAATGTCAAATAAAGCTCACCTCGAGCCTTCTTCGCTGCTGCTTTATTGGCTCGTTGAGCTTTAACTTCTTCGGCGCTTTTGGGCTAAAGCAACAGCCAGCACTCAATGGAAGGAACTTTAGCTTTAGAATAAACACCGACCTGATCTAATTGCTGGTTTGGTACTTTTGCCTTCTCAGCCTTTTGTGAAGCTTTATCCCTTGCAGTGTTTTTTCCATCTTCTTCAGGAGCCTTCGTTCCAGCTGCAGCATTTGTGGACTCCCCTGCTTTCGCAGGTTCATTTCTAGTGGATGTAGCTGCGTCGAGCTTGACCGCGCCAAGTACGTCGCCCATTTTCTGTATGCCTTCGGCCAGTTTGGAAATGGACAACTGCAAGGCCGATATTTAAAAAAAAGTCACAACAGAAAAGAGCTGCTTTGGAAGCGCTTTCTGCTCTAAGAAAGCACCTAATGTCATAATAAGCACCCTAAGGTTAAAGCAAAAGCTGTTGAGAAACGACACCGACATTTAGCTATTATTGGATGAAAAATCTCAAAAAGTGAAGCACTGGCAGTGTTCCGGGGCTATAGAAAGGTGCTGGCAAGCTTTTGTACAAGGTTGCAAAGATTCATCGTCTTTTAGGACCGTGTTCATGTTCTGCGAAGGCGGACAATCTTATTTCGGGAATTGCAGTTTATAAGAAAGCGCGCCTCGTGGGTGGGTGGAGTCAGTCGATTGCATCCATTCACGAAGCTCCTTCAGATAGTGTGTTCATACTTTGCGTCAACGTTTTGTGGATAAATTTTAGCTTCTTGCAGGCAATCGCTGAAAATGCTAGCGCACGCCAACGCTGGATCTGGTCGATGTATATACTTTCATGTCGTTAAAACGCTGCCGTGCGCGAGCATGCGCACAGTGTAGGTCGATACCGATACTTTCCCAGTCACTCAAAATGCTGCCGCACTCCCAGTACACTCACGCAAAGTATGAACGCAGCCTTATCGCTGATTCTCTGATTGACGCGTAAGCTTTCCTAGGTGCACAAGCAGTTGAGGGGGAGGAACAGGCGAGAGCGCTAAATGTCCGTTGCGGCAAATTTGATTGCCTGTGCTCTGCAAAGCATGAGCCCTGGCTAATAGAAGGGTCAAAGTCACGCCTTCAGCTTAACCTCGTCAACAGTTTTTGCACCCTTTCCTCTGTAGCGAACACCGGATTCGCATATTCTCCACACTTGAGTAAGAACGCGGTATCAGTTAGCTTGCGTTCATAGTTTGCGTTAGTATACGCAGCGTTTTGAGCGTTTCCAGCGCACGCCAGCGACTAGGAAAGCACAGGTATCGATCTAGTTTGAGCGTACGCCGGCGTTTCGAGCCGTTTCGAGCGTTTTCACGTGCAGTTTTGTTCAAGCTCTGAAATGTTCGCAACGTCGCTCAAAACGCTGGCGTACGCTGGTGGACGCTTGAAAAGCTAGATCGATATCCATACCTTCACAGTCGCTGCTGTACGCTGTCATACGCTAAATCATTTATATTTTCCTAGTCACTGGCACTGGCGTACGCTCCAAAGGCTTGCGTGCGCTGACGCGAAGTATGAACACAGCCTTAGGATCGAGTTGAGTGCGCGTTCACAACTCGCGATTTGGATGCTTTGGGACTGATCGCGAGTGACTTGATCACTGGCTCTGATAAGACCAAATCGCGAACGCACTCTGAGGCTGAACAGCTCCTCATCTACTCATTGTGATCTTCCCGGTGATAAAATAAAATGGATCCTTTCTAGACGGACTTGCGCTTAATCCATGAGAGAACTCTAAATCCAAATTCACGTTGTTAGTGTGAGTGCAAATGGCATATTGTAAAAGCGTTTTCTCAGGGTTAGCAAAAACTTATTGGAAATACGAAGCCTGACCAAGCGAAGCGTAATTCATTCTACTATATACTACTAGTACAGTACGTCTCTCAACAGTTCACCTTCAGTTGACCCACTGGATCGTCAGCCATTGAAGTGCCTCCTCGATCGATCTCCGATTTAGACGTCATAATAGCTATCTGAAAGCAAAATACTTTCAAAGAACCACGACGCAGACCACCCAGGTGTTCAGAAAAGTGTGAAATGTGTGAAACTGACTAAAAAATATGCTGGTACTACATCTTTAAGAACGCAATATTTCGATGTTTTCCCTTAGACACCACAGCGCAACTAACGAAGGCACAAGCGAGAGAACAGTACTGTTGAGAAATAGTACGGAAATTTAGCAGTATCACCTCTTTGATTCCAACCAATTCAGGGCAACATCAATGGAAGTAATTTTGGATTACGGTAAATGAAAATGAGTGACAAGCCTTGTGACCTCGACGCGCAATCGCGGACGAACTCAAGCTATCGGTTTTCTGGCGTGACGATTCACATCTTCCGTGCAGCTTTAGCCCCACGTCCTGCTTTTTTAGCAGTTCTGTGTTTGATGTGTATCTAAATATGTGAGCACTTTGACAAGGTATGTAGGGTGAAAAGTGGTTCGTGTAAGTCCTCAAATTGTTTGGTTCATTCCATCTGCTAAGTAATAGAGCTGGGGAAGACGGTGTTCTGTTACAACTCTCTTTACATTCTTGTTTCTTCCTGAGCACTTTAGGAACAAATTTCCTAGATGTCAGCTTAAGTATTTGAAAAGAAGTATTCGAAAAGGATATTTTAGGAAATGCTGTCGGTACACTTTGAATATTGTGAATCGATAACGCAAAAAGCTAAAAGATTTCACCCTGAGAAGGGTAAACCTTTCGTATGAGAGGTGCAGATCATCAATGAGACAATCTGAAACCCAAATGGTGAGCTGCAAATTGATCACTGCTTTACGCATTGTTATTTTATGCCATGTCGTATGTCAAAAAGGAACCTATTCAAGTTGTACTTTATTTTAGGAATGGAATTTAATGAATGGATCCAAGGAGAAGAATGGCAGCAGTACTGACAAGTATACTCCTCTCCAGACGAAGTGCTACGAACTGGCGGCTCGTCGACGTCGAGGTCTTCAGCGTCCTGAATCACCAAGCATTCCAGATGTTTAGGCACTGCTTTAATTGTCAGTACGATGCTCTGTAAATAAGTTGACCATAATTATGTATTGATCGCTCGTAATATTGACTGAGAAACGGTGAGGTCATAGCCGCAAGTAACGCCTGCATGTGGCGCACATCGGACACTGCCCTCTAGGCTGCACGGATTCTATTACGAATTCCTTTATTGATTGTAATTTAACATTATTTTTGCTCGAAATCAATTTCAAGATTTCCATGAGCTCTGTTCATGTTGTACACTGATATGTGTTATCATTCTGTAAGTTTCATAAAAATGTGTGCAGTCAAAGTGTCATATAAAGTTAATAAGAAACAGTTCAGTTCGAAGAAATTGTTGTCAGAAAATGTCCGATCAGGCTGAAATGGCTACCTTTTATATGTCGGAGTCGACGTCAATATTCACGTTTCCTCATGAAAGATCAAGCATTTATAAGGTGCATAAAATAGATTGGAAAATACAGAAAGGCGTGGAGATTGACGTCGGTGAAGGCATATGAAAGGTCAAAAGGAGTACAAAAGGCCTGAATTACAAGCCAAGTTCTTACTCCGTACCAGATAGAGCCGTGATTCTTGGTGAATTTAGGGTCTGTCTAGTTGACAAGTGACCACAGAGATGACTTCATCTGAGTACTCATCTTCTGACGAAGACACAGGAGCCAAGGTATGTGTCGTGGCATGAGGTTGACGACATTTCCCCGAGGATGGTGTCCTTTTGTATGTCCATCTTATTCGACGGGGAAAAGAAAAAGCGGTGTATATTACTGGAAACCGATAAGTGTTCGATACGTTCGCTGCCAAGCTCTAGAAATTTTTTTCGAATAGATTCGAATTTATATTGTTCATATAAGATTTGCCTTTTCAGGTTTCGGATGACTCAGACGCTTCTTCTAAGAAGCACAAGAAACGCCCCACTCGTAATACCAGCAGTAAAGCGATTATTGAAAGTGCAGGTTAGTTTTCAGTGTTTGGAAATGTAACATGCCTTTAGTTTTGGATTGAGAAGGATGCAGAACCTTGTCTGCAATTTTATACTTTGCTTCCTTCCGACTTCTTTGATCAATAAAGGGGACCCCAATACTTCGTAAGGGTAAGTCACATATTCACATAGACGAGTGGACAGTTGATCGCATAGAAACTAAGTTAATCAAAAACTGCAAAACTCAAGCTACATAAAAAGAAAACTTACTGAGAACGGAAATTCTTTGATTGCTGAAAATTCCTACAAATGAGAAGTTTTGAGGGGGGGGGTGGTTGGAAAGCAAAGAGGTAGCTCAGCTGGTTACGCACGTGCCCTTAGACGAAGCCCAAGCTAAAGCTAATCCTCCCTCTCTGTTTATCACTAAGGGATGGGAGGAACATGAGCAAATGGGGATTGAGCAAAAAAATGAGCCACAAAAGAACGAAAATTAATTTTCGTGAAATATTTGCGGTGTTCAAGGGGAAAGCACAGCGCGTACCCTATGAAATAAGTTAGTTAACTCCCCTTCGAGCAAGCTGGAATTTCCAACGGAATCGCAAAAGAAGGGAAGAAAAGAGGGAACGGTTGAATAGGCCATGTTTTGCGTTTCTCTGTCACATTGTGTAACTATCTGTGATTCGAATGAAAGTTAACAAGCCCTCCAACCATCACCGCATTGCTTTGCTCACAACCTTCCAGCTTTTATTTTTGGTTAAGAAATGCCCCCCCCGCCCCGTTCCCCTCTAAGGTGTGGTTCGTCTCCACTCTACATTTTGTCTTGAGTCAGACTCAGCGATGTAAAGCATGAACTTTTGAAGAAATCTTAGAGAAGCTCTACTGCTCTCTCCAGAATGGCGAGCATACGAGTTCTAAAGAATGCAATAATTGGAGGGGTCTGTGTGGTGGTTGAGCTTTCCAGAAGAATGTTCTGTGCGAAACTCCCTAGGAAAGAGAAGGCCGTGGTGGTCCACAAGACGTCGCCAATAACCTCATCGCATCATCTTGTCGAAGAACCCGCTAAATAAATTTAAACAAAACATTTAGGTTCCTCCGATTCGGACGATTCTGACTCTGACGGTGGATCGGATAGCGACGATGGACACGCTGCTGCTAATCGTAAAAGGAAGGGATCAGTTTCCATGGCCAGAAAAGGCGGGGCGTCGAGCAGCGCAAAGAGGAAAAGAGCGATGAGCGAAGAAAGTGATCGCGTAAGTGAAAAAGCCTGTCGTTCCTAGAAATATTTTACGAAAGGAATTCGTGGAATCTGGTCACCTTTTATGCTAAATTGCTGATGACAATTTCGCGATCCTCCGCTCGAAGATATTCTGTCAGCGCTACCATCGATTAGTTTAACCAATCCTTCGTACCGCTTTTCAGCTGATCGAGTTTAACTTGATTACTCCATGTTTTAAAAGCTTTGCCTGTGTTACTTAGCCTCGGAGGCTGTAAGTAGTCGTTGTAGAGCCCTTCATTTTTACTGTGTTCGTAAGGTGATTCCTTCTATGCAATTACAAAATAGTTTATTATTTTTGATAAGAGAAAACAGTTTATTTATTACTAGGTTTCACATGCTCAGTTCTGAGTTCCATCACCCCAACTTTAACACATTGCGGCTCGCCGTTCCACGAGCATCTCTTCTATCACTTTTCAATCCTCGATAATCGGTAATTCCGCCTGTTTTTTCCCGTTCTTGTGGCGTACGCGTCTTTCGTGTCCAACGAATTGTTCGAACAGCTTCAAAACAAAATGTTTGCCTAATAGACCGTTCACAGTTGAAAGAGAAAAAATGTGACACACCGTGTGTGTCACGCGGTCCGGAACGGTTCAGTTTTACGTAGTGGAGTACTCTAAGTCGGAAAGAAGGTCGTGCGACACTCTGACCAATTTTTAGACCAAATTTCTCTTCACTAGAAACCCTCCATCTACAAGGTAATCACCATTGATGACTAGGACTGGTGCCCACCTTTTGCACAGCTTCTCATTCCATCTTATAGAACTACGGCAACTACGATAAAAAGAGGATCATTTTCGAGTGGACGTCGATTTTCGGAAATTTCGCTTCTTGAAAGATGCGACAGGAACCAAAGGAGGTGGTATTAGGTTGTCCGGAATGTTTTGAGAAAATTTCACACTTCTAGTTTGAAGAAGTTAGGGCCCAGCACGAAGGCGTATATGAAGTGCTATGAGAAAGAGAAATGTTTGTAGATCAATCTTAATGCTAGTTGGTCTTATTCCCCATGGTTGGTATGACTTACACATTACCTGAAAAATGTACGAGCGCACACGACTCCCAACGCCTTCTACTTCATCTTCACCGTTCTGGCTCCTCTAACGGTCAAATCGGGAATGAGGAACCGTCACCGATGCTGGATAAAACACGCTTCAAAACTATCTGCAGCAGGAGATCAATCGGTCTCTTACGTGGAAGTTTAGCTTGGATGTTGCGTACGCCCCCGCATGCTCGGTACTCACTTCATTCTAACTAACTAACTCCCGCGCAAAGTAAATCCCGCCCAAAAGGTAAGGAATGTGAAATGGTCAATGTCAAAACTTTCCGATACCCTAATAACTAGAAGTTACTCACTTTGGTAGATAAGCTGGGTACGGTCGCATTCCCTGATCGAGATCCATGATCCTCACATGGGGTCCTCGCATACCGAGTAGTAGAAAGAAAGTGACTGTTTCTGAATGAATTCAAGCGTGACGTCATCCACACGTTTTGACGTTGGTTTAGTGTAGCATGTGGCCGACATTGCTGTGCCAGTACCCAGCGATATCGCTTTGTAGTTCTACCAATACCAGTGAAATTTTTATTCCGTGCACGTCTGCTTTTGGATAAGGTGGCTACTTTTCTCTTTTAGAGATCCTGTGAAGGGACATGTGCATGGTGAACGCAAAGTAACCCAGCTCTCGTTAACAACCAAGATGTCGCACGAAAAGTCCTTCCATTGCGTACAAAGAAGAGAAACCCAGTCACGACCATCCGGTGCGCTTTGTCAGGCTGGTGCAGCTCATATGGCGTATCTCACAGAAAATTCTCCCGGCACAGGTTTGCGCGTAGAAGCCATGATATTTTTTCACTTAGGTCAGTCTAAAAGTGTTGGCCGGAGATACTGGTGGTTGTGCTCGACTACACCAGCGGGAGGTTTAATAAACGGCCGTCGTTTTGTGCTGGTGACCAACTTATACGTTGCCTACCTTCCAATTAAATAGTTCTAGCTTGCAGGTAATAATACAAACGGGACACTCTGCCGTGACAAGCGAACATTCTTCCTGAAAGCAACGCAGGTGTTGGCTACCTCGACTACGGCGGAGTGGCCCCACAGGAACTCATGGTATGGGTCGAAAAGTACCATGACCTTTGAGGGACTTTTGGGTTTCGAAAGCATCCCAAAGTGATGATATACCCGTCTGCAAAAACCTCAGAAGACATTCTCCACTAATCAGCGAGGAAAACATTCAAAATGATTTTTTTTTCTAGAGCAGTTCAATCGAAGTGTCAGGACTTTCTTTCCAACCTAATAGTACTTTTGCATCGTTTTGATTCGTTCTTTCTCCGGAAGTCCTATCAGATTATCGGTACTTCTTCACCGTTGAGATCAATGCGGACTTTCGGAATCAATACATTCGTGGGACCGTAAGGAAGATATGCCTTCCCGTTCTAATGTGTCATTATCCATGTTCATCATCAATTAGCTGTTGAACCCTCTCATTTTTTTTTTTTTTGTTTTTCTTTCTTTCTTGTCTCTTTTCTTTCTTTCTTTCTGATCTTTTGCTTTATCTTTCTGTCTTTCTTCTTCTTTTCTTGTTCTTTCTTTCTTTTTCTTCTTTCTTTCTTTATCTTATATCTTTCTTCTATTTCTTCTTCTCTCTCTCCCTCTCTCTCTCTCTCTGAGAGGCAGGAGAGATGGACACGGCGAGAGGAGGCTTGTAGAAGTCTTTCCGTCGTCCTCAGTACTTTCAGACGTACCCGTCCTTAGACCCTGCGGCATCTGAAAGCAGGCTTTCCTGAGGTTGTCGGGCCTCAGAGGCAAAAGAAGACTTTTCGTCGGCAGGTCGCCTAGCAAAAGTTGATCCGAATCCATTTTCCAGATGAGGCGTGGCCTCGCTTTCAGGAAAGCAACACATTACGAAGAGAAGAGCACGAGTCAACTCAGCGTCAAATTTAGGCCGAGTTCGTGTAATTAGGGACGTAAGAAAAAAATAGTACAGTAAATCTGACTGTAGGTCGAAATGCAATAATAGATCAGCTTTGTGTCAATTGTTCTGCTGTATAGTAAAGCTGACAGACTAACCACCATTTCTGCCTACTTCTGAGGAGCGATGCAGATCATAATGTGCTGAGACTGAAAATAGTCCATTTCATTTCCATGCTACCTCTTTTTTTATTCATTGCTCGTTAAGGGAGAGATGGACGATGACCTATTTGCCGATGATGAGGAGGACAGGCGACAGGTGAATGTCCCCAATGAAACTAGACAAAGATCGAGAACAGTGAAATCCTTCAATAGAAATGGAGGCAGCAAGAAATTGAGGAGGAACTAGGTTTGTCTTATTTTCTATGGTAATAGGATGTTGTTTTGGAATTTTTTTTTTTCCCATTATTTCCTTCATGCAAGACAGGCCGGCGCGGTTCATACTAATGGACAATGGAGTTCAGTACGAGCCCTGTAGTCGCCCGAAATGACTCGTAGCAAGGGAAGAAGAAGCCGAACAGAGAATATCGTGGAGTATGCCCTAAGTAACTACCCTGGCAGCCTTCGTGTGCGAGTTCGCCTCTAGATGCTGGTTTTATGCCAGGCAGGACGATACGCTCCGGCCTGCTGCCACTAACGCGTTTCTTCGGCAGATGCCTATTGGCCATAATAGCAGTGGAAAAAAAGAAAAAAACTGGTTTAAAACTGAATTCGTGATCGGGAAATGCCTTCCGAGTTTCGCGTGGGCACAACTAGAGTGGCGTTGAACTGGCCACTTCATAAGGTGCGGCAGCTCTTTGTTTACATTCTGTGAAATCGAGAAAGTGAGACAGTCTTAGCGATAGCTGGTAGCTGGATAGCTGATGAACCAGACTGAATAAGGAAAGCCGTAAGAATTGACTTGGGCACGAGTTGGTCTTTCTTTTTCCCCATTTCCCTGCTTTCTCTCATCCATATCATCCGTTGCAGCACAACCAACACTTATTTTGCCCCACGTTTTGACCGTTTTGAGAGGTGGATGAACCGAGGGCGAATTGTAATTTTCAGGAAGCAAATTGAAGAAAAGTTGGCTGCAGCGAAAAACGCATCATCTACAGTCGGAGATAAGAAGGAGAAAAAAGAGAAGCGCAAGCGTGATGAAAAGAAACGGATAAACGATGCTGATAGTGATGACGGTTTGTTCCTTCGGCATATTGTAATCTAAATATGGAGGAATTGACTTACATCATGTTTTCAATGTTTCGCATGCTGTAGCTCTCACTTTTGACCTTCTGTTGAAGTCATATACTATATAGAAACGAACTCACCGTCGCGATCGAAAGAGGCAATCAGCGATCAAATCGAAAGCCGCCGTTGTGTCTGAATCAGAATCTGAAGCAGACATGAAGTTTCATCGTCCGTCTGAAATCCATAAAAAGGCCACCCAGAAAAACGCTATGGCAGATTTGCTTGCTAAACGGAAAGATAAGGAAAATAAAGCTGGTAGGCGTTTTCCTGTTATTATTTACGCTTTCTCTATCAAACTGTTGCTGTTATAGCGAAAAAGGCAGCGCTATCCATCGACGCTGTGTTTGGAAAGGATGATAGTGATGGTTCTTCATCTTCGTCGTCATCATCTTCGTCGACGGCGTCATCTCGGTCATCTTCTCGTGAATCATCACCGAGAAGAGAAGCCGAAAGCGAGGATGAAGAAGAGAAGAAGGCGGCAAGAAGAGAGGTAATCGTATTTCGAATTGAGAGTGTAGTGGCTTTCACGTCCGATTTCAGGTGGGACGCGTCATAGGAACTATCAAGAGCTCGTAATGTCGCGCATGCAAAATGCTTGAGAACACCCTAATGTATACGCTGCCTTTTCTTCGCCAAAACTGTGATAGGATGTTTTGTTCGAATTGGTCTTGGTGGATATGGAGGAAAATCGAAGTATAGGGTAGGTGTACGCTAGAAAGCCGATTAGTGCTCGTTTTGGCTGAATTTGCATCACGGCTGTCGCGTGTACTGGGGCAGCGAAAGAGGGAGACTTTACTTCGTCTATTTATATATCCAACAGTCGTATGGAGTTTCCCTGTCACCCCCATTAATACTCCCCGAACGATCTGAAATTACCATGAAACGAAGTCCTACGTTAGCTCGAGTTTTTGTGGTGCTCCCATCCTAACGCCTTTTATCAGCTTTTATCACTCGCTATCACTTTCCTGTTAGCTATCATAAACGTCAGTGTCATGCCATCTTTATCCCGTACTAATTTGACTCTCTGCGGCGCGCATACGCCCGCCTACTTACGTACGCACGCGTACGACTACTGGGATTCAGTTCGCGGCACCCATGGTGTGGCATCGCACTCTTTCTAGCATTACCCAGCACTGCCACATTCATGTGAGCTATCCGCCTCTATGAAACGGGGGGGGGGAAAGGGGGCATTTGCGCTTTTGCTACTTCCCATTAACGTGTCAACCCATCTAGACAGTATCATTCTCGAGTTAACAGGTTTTACCATGATAGCTTGACGAGCTTGCTCCAGCTCCACAAGTTTCTCACAGATTTCACCAGAGTGAGACATGTAAACCGGAAGTGGTGAAGCAGTGAGTGCAAATGCCCCCCCCCCCCCCCCATCCGATCTGCCATCCAAGGTTTTAAGCATCACTGGCTGGCCTAGTCAACCATGAGAGATGTCCTGTTATAGTGAGTAACAGTAGTGAAAGAAGCATTGGCGCATGGCCTGCAAAGATTAATTGTAATCTTGCGTTAGAGAAAATTTACACCCTCGAGCAGCTTAACAGACTACATGGAATGCCTCTACACTATCTTATCAGGAAACTTGACATAAACTACTTCATCAGCGGTTTAGTCGAATTATATGATGTCTATACTTCACAACCAACTGAAAAACAACTGCCCTATTTTGCGTCATTCTCAAAAATTTGAAGCTGGTAAATGAGCTCATCACTTTATTGCGCGCCAGGGATACCGACACAATTCTCAAATTCTTTCATAAAGCAGAATTTTCATTCATTATTTGACGTTGTTATTGCGGCAGCTGACAAGTCTCCTTTCTTCAGAATGAAGCTATTCTTCACAAAAATGCGAAATCGTCGTTGTATTTCTTTTAATCAGAGGAACTTCGCTGTAGACGATAAGGGAAATCCTCTTGTCGTCTACATCTTGGAAATAGTCTCTCACGCTGGTATTAAAGATTTTTTTTTTTTGCGGGGCAAGTTTGGTTTGGTGGGATTTGCTGTTTCCAGTCATGCCGATATTTTCTGTGGAGACCTGTGAGCTCTTGTAAGGTCAGCAATACCACGAGCTTCGTCTACATTTGAAAGAACCTACAGGTCCGAAAAGGTGAGACCTGTAAACGAAAAGAACTAGTAAAACAAACTGACCAGGGCACATCGTTGGAATCCCCAATAGGGGGCTTAGTTCGCCGCCAGGAGAGGGGGGTCGTATTTACGTTTTGGTGTTGTAGGGAGAGGCGGTTGACTTTTGGTGATTTTCCTGTTTCACGTACTATATGCCCCCCCCGCTCGACAGCAAAATTTTTGGTAAAAAGTAGGGAAGTTTTCGGGAAATTTTGGAAAAAAGGGGCAAGGGAAGTTGGGGAGAATCTGATTGTAGAGGGGGGGGGGGGAAGGATGTATTGCTCGTGTTTTTCCCGTTCGAACGGCCTATCTACCCCCCCCCCCCGCCTCGATGCAGGAAGGACAGAGGGCGAGGGAAGGGGCATATAGCAGGCATGAGACAACTCAAAGGGGGGGGGGGTCCGTATAGATTCGATCTAAAATGCCCCAACAGTGATGTGCCCCTGAAGCACACCAGGGAAATGCTCTCTCCCAGCACCGTACAGCACGAAGATTTCTTATTTTATGAACTGAGGGAAAGATAAGAAGGGCTCTGACTAACAGTTCTATAGACTGGAGTGCGAAATATGCGCGGAAATGGATCACAAGCGTCCTCAGTAGATTTTTGATGTCGAAAAAAGAACGGAAAAATCAATCGGTCGAATTCCGATATATCGTGTTTGCTGTCATCAACCCTAATTTTTAGCTCTCACAAGTTGTGGACGTGGTCGAAACGAACAAGGTGTATGTTTTCGAGAATCTCAAAACGAACAAAGGTCTAAAGTTGAAATACGGTACGTCTATATCGAACAGTATTTTGTTCTTTGTGTGGTCGTTTATAAATATCGCTTATTCTTATTTAGGTACTGATGAGCGCGGGTATTCCGCATTGAGTTTGTTCCAATGCTCAGTTCGGCGAAGAGGAGTTCTCTGAATGGAGGGCGGTTACAAAAGAGGAGGTATGGAAATCTGGCAATGCTCTAGCACCGACTGAAAACTGCAGAGGAAAATGTAGCGCTAATTTATTTGTACGCTAAGCAGAGCTTTTTTTCAGTGTGGGTCCTTGCCAACTATGGATCACATAGAGAAAAAGGAACTGGACATTAGGAAGGCGATGAATTTCAACTATACCGATGAAGTTATTGAATATGTAGGTCCCTATGTGAAAAAGCAGCGAATCAAATGTTGCTTCAATCAGAGCTAAGATCTAATTCATTTTTTTAAACAGATTGTGAAAGAGAAGAAAAAGTTTTCCGACAAAGTAAAGAACTTTGCGTTTTACAAAGGGAGAACTCATGAAAAAGAAGGTGAGTTGTTTTCTAATTGTTGGCCAATTTTATTTCGTTTATACTTTGCTGAAAGCATCGTCATTTCGTATCACCTCATCATCATGTTTTCACATTCATTTCGTCGGCTGTAAAACTCACTAGCTGTAAAACTCACTGGCTGCATTAACACTGTTCGTTTTATGAACTATGGAGGCAACCCGTTATTCCATGTGTTTTGAATTTGGAGTGTTTGTTTTGCTGAACGTTTTCATCCGCTTCCAGTTCTGCCCAAATTTTGATAAAAAAAATATCAGTGCCAACGAGAATGGGGACCTATAAGTGATTTGGGCGCTGCCTGTTTCTGTGCGCTCTTTCAAGAACCGAGGTATTCACAAAAGTTGGCATCCGACTCCCTACGGAATTTCCAACGGAGACCTATTTCGATAGAGTATGGAGTGTTCATTACAAATATAGAGGCCGAATTGCTAGGTGATCTTCGCAGGCCACTTACGGGCGCTCAACTATTGCTGGAAACGCAGCGGTGACATTTCAGCAGGATTAGGCCATCAACACGGAATGATAGTGCCTGCACCGACTTACAGCTGAGGCTTTCGTTCTGCTATCGGTAAGGGTGGGTTTGCTCTCCGTCAGCGTAAAGTTTTTGCCTTATGTCCAAAATAAACTTCCGTTTGGTTCTAGCCATCCCCTCAATCTAGCCCCTTGCAAAGCGAGTAGGTCAGGAGTTTGACCTGGAAAATTAAAAAAAAGACCTGGGCACTGCTCGTTCTTTACGAAGCACCTTCTGAAATTTGGGTCCACCTTGATTTGATTGGAGCAATGTTTCAGTCAATCGGAACGTAGCCCTGAAGTTGAAAAAAACCCAGGTGC